TATTAATAATTATTCAGATGGAAGCAGAATCCCGTCTACATATTTTATATTAATAATTATTCAGATGGAAGCAGAATCCCATCTACATATTTTATATTAATAAATGTTCAGATGGAAGCAGAATCCTGTCTACATATTTTATATTAATAATTGTTCAGATGGAAGCAGAATCCTGTCTACATATTTTATAATATTTTTTTTGTTTGTTCTGGCTTCAAAGACTTACCGTTTCACTATTTACAATCACATTTAGTTTTGGGAAAACCTCCTGGATAACTTGTTTTAGTCTCTTCTGTTCTTCCTGGAGTCTGATTGTCCCCTCCTAAAATAAGCATGCAACTTTAATCCTGATTGTACCCTCCTAAAATAAGCATGTAACTTTAATCCTGATTGTACCCTTCTAAAATAAGCATGCAACTTTAATCCTAAATTCTCCAATTCACTACAATAAATTCTAATTCATAAAGATCTATTCCTATCTTTAGTTACTAGTTGTGAACTTTTGTCAAGAGCTGAGGAAACCACTAACTTTAAATATAAATGGTTGCTTATTAAGTTCAACATGTAATAATAAATCTGCCTTTATACAATTCAAGTACCACAATATTTATACATCTCAGCTTCTTACCTACTACATTTGTTCCTGTTCATTACAATTACCATTAAAGAAGATAATTATATTAAACATTTAAATGCCATAAGATAGTTCAACCCTCATTAATGGTTTGAACAACTATATTAATTAAATTTCAAGATGTACATAATAACAATGGAACCTAACAAAAAAAAACAAGAAACTAGAAGTAAATACTTAGTGACCTAGTTTGAACAGTAAACCACTAAAAGCAATGTTAACAGTCCTTCAACAGTAGCCAAGAAAATCTATGCTGTATATACCACTTGGAAATTGTCTAGGATCTAGTTGTTATATTGGCAACGAACCAACATCTGACTAAACACCTTACACTGTGCTCCTGTCTCATCATACTTGGCAATAACTATAATGGATATTTATAGAAAGTAACCATTTCTCAATAGTTGAAAAGTAATATCTAGTCAAAGTACAAGTGAGCAAGGCTGTAAAATGCAATTTGTAGATGTAAATTGATTATGTGACTGGTTATTACTTTTAATCATAAGCATATATTAAGAAAAAAGTGAAAGATTTTTGAAAAAATTGTTTGATTTGGTTTATAAACACTGACCCTCACTACATTCCTCAGACCTAGTTATCAGGTTCACTGTTTGATCAGTGTTTATAAACCAAATCAAACAGTGTACCTGATAACTGGGTATGAGGAATGTAGTGAGGGTCAGTGTTTATAAACCAACTCTCACTATATTCCTCAGACCCAGTTATCAGGTACACTGTTTGAGTTGGTTTATAAACACTGACCCTCACTATATTCCTCAGACCCAGATATCAGGTACACTGTTTGATTTGGTTTATAAACACTGACCTTCACTATATTCCTTAGACCCAGTTATCACTGTTTCAAAATCTGGTTATTTCTTTTTTTTTCTCACCTTGAACAATTCATATGTATTCAACATCTTAGTGATTAGCCACTACATTGTTAAATTAACAAAATAAGAATATAGTTAATATAACCCAAACTCAGTTTTTTGTTTAAAACATTAATTATCACTCTTATTCAGAATAATCTTCAAGAATTATTAGAAGTTGTAACATAAGTTTTGGTTCACACAATCCTCTTCACACTTACCTTTTATCAGAAGTTGTAACATAAGTTTTGGTTCACACAATCCTCTTCACACTTACCTTTTATTAGAAATTGTAACATAAGTTTTGGTTCACACAATCCTCTTCACACTTACCTTTTATCAGAAGTTGTAACATAAGTTTTGGTTCACACAATCCTCTTCATGCTTACCTTTTATTAGAAATTGTAACATAAGTTTTGGTTCACACAATCCTCTTCATGCTTACCTTTTATTAGAAATTGTAACAAGTTTTGGTTCACACAATCCTCTTCACGCTTACCTTTTATTAGAAATTGTAACATAAGTTTTGGTTCACACAATCCTCTTGCATGCTTACCTTTTATTAGAAGTTGTAACATAAGTTTTGGTTCACACAATCCCCTTGACACTTACCTTTTATTAGAAGTTGTAACATATGCTTTGGTTAACACAATCCTCTTCACACTTACCTTTTATTAGAAGTTGTAACATATGCTTTGGTTAACACAATCCTCTTCACACTTACCATTTATCAGAAGTTGAACCATATGCTTTGGTTAACACAATCCTCTTCACACTCACCATTTATCAGAAGTTGAACCATATGCTTTGGTTAACATGATCATCTTCCCACTTACCTCATCAAGTCTTAAAGCTTCACTTTTCCATTTTTCAAGCTCCTTTAAAATGTCTTCAATTTGAAGTTTTTTATCCTCTTGAGTCTTTTTTTCTTTGACCTCCGAACTTTGACATATTCTTTGTTTTTCTAGCTGTTGAAGGAAAGTAGCATTTTCTTTCATACATTTTATTTGTTCTTCTAATTTTTTGATCTTGTCCTTGTTCTCTTGTTCACCTTCCTTTTTGACCTTCTTGGTGTACTTCTCAGCCTCTCTTAGAGCTTCTGTTATCTTCCAGTTCCTCTCTTGTAATGCCTACAAGTGTATTAACTCAAGCATTTAATTTTCATTTATGAAATTACATAGTTAGACATTGGCCATTTATATATATTCTTCAGATATAAACAGAGATTCAAAAAAGTAAATAAACTGGTATACATCCAGAGTGACTCAATGGCTTGTATGAAAGTAGAAATTACAAATTAAAACACCAGCATTTCTTGACAATCTTTTTTGAATAGGCAACACAGTAGATGTAATTTTCCATTAATTTGTATATTGTAATCACATGTGGAGGTATAAAACAAACCAAATGGCTCTCTATAAACATGAAGCTGTAGGCTTAACTAGACACTAAAAAGTATCCATTGCAACCAAGGTGATCAACTAATCCTCCCTCTACTGACCCTACACTCTACACACCACCCACTTCAAACTATAGTTGAGAACAATGTAATTTTAGAATATTTTAACTCTAGTATCCCCTGATCACAAAAAACATTTCAAAACATTTAGAAACATATATCAAAAGATACACACATACATATAAAAACAGATGGTAGCCAGTTGTCTTTACACTGCTTAGACATATACATATCAAAGTAAATGCTAGCTAGTTCTTACACTGTTTTTGGACTTCTGCTCTTCAACTTCTTCAACAAGAAGATTTATCTGGTTTTTGCAAGAGTCTATCTGCTCTTGCAATAACTGGATAAATGTATCTTCTCCTATCCTACAAGAGAGATAAATATACAAATGTAGTAAAATGTCCAAATAACACATTAAGATGATACTGATATACATTTCAAACATTCACACCTAATTTACATATATATGCAAAAATGAAAAAAAAATTAATGCTCTTATGTTAACTTTATGCATGCTGACGTAGATGTATAAAAATTCAACAGAACTTATCACAACAAGTTATTACCTCAATATTAAATATATTTTGCAAGAGCTTTCATTTAAGTCGGTGTTAGGTGTAACGAAGGTTGGTCTAACTTAACAAACGTGCTATATTTGCTAAAAGTCTGAAAGATAAAATAAATAAAAAAACCTGTCTACCTATAATAATACTGTCTGAAGTCAATTTGGCTATTCACACACACACAATTTTTGAGATATAAAAATATTAAAATTACGTTTTTTCTCTGTCAGTTGAACCTTGACTTTTTTGCTCCTCCTGGTATCTCCATAAACTCCTCTCTTCAACTTCTTTTTCTATCTGCACCAGCTTCTCTTGAAATTTGTTTTCAGTTTCCTGAACTGTCTTTTCAGCTTCAAGTTGGGCTTGTTTCTTGATTTTTTCCATTTCTTTCTGACTTTCTTGTAGTTTTTTATCAGTATACCTTTCAGATTCAGCTAAGGCCTCTACAATTTTCCAGTTTTTCTCTCTCAGTTCCTACAAAGAATTTAATAAATACTGTGGTTTGAGAGTATTCAACAAACCACTTTTATAAAAACTGTACTAAATATTATGTACTGTAACATCCTCCATTTCTTTTAGGTCCACTGATCAGTGACTTTTTAAATTAACATTGTATTTCAATCTCAGTACCAGTGGTTATATTTGTTGCAATCATTGTATTAAGTTGCAAAAAAGGAAAGGTTAAATCAATCTTTTCAAGTTTAAAATTCTTCGAGGTATCCCTCAATTAACAGTTATGCCAAGAAAGAACTTTCACTACATAAAAAACCTAGAGATATAGATTCTACTTTGTGTAAATACTGTTGTTCAAAGGTTTGGTAAAATTCAGACCAATCACAAATATCTTTGATTTATATTTACTATTACAGTTCTTCCTTGTACGATAGTCTACTTCTTCCTTCATTTTTGAAAAACCCATTGAAAATAATTTCTATTTACTTACATTGTTCTTCCTCCTCTGACAATCTAGTTCTTCCCTGACATCACTTAACTGATCTCTAAAGAAATTCACATCATCTTGAAGTTTCTGAACAACTTTTTCCTTCTCGTCAACACTAGTGAGCGGATTCATGAAATACAAAAGTATTCATCACACTGAAGCTGTCTATTTCACACACAACACACAAAAACAATGTAAAGGCTAGAATTATAGCATTAAATTATATTCATTTCCTAATACTTTCAACAGTTTCATATCATAAACCCTCAGTGTGTGATTTCTGTATTTTTTTTTCTTATCCTCTTCTGTTTTTCCAGTGTAGTGATTAAACTAAGTTCCCAATTATTTATGTGCTTTTAAGCCTTGACAGTTTTTCCTGTAAGCTACTGAATTGGTAATTTTAAATGATGGTTTACTTAAAACTTTGGATCAAACTACTTATCTACAAATTAAGCCAACAACAATGGAATAGATCGTTAAATAGTATCCTCTCAAAACTTTTATTCTACATTAATTCAATAAGAGGCAATTAATAGATATTGTTTCTTTACACTGAATGGGATTTATATCATTTATTTCATTCACATAACTTGAATAGAACGTAGAAGAAAGACTGTCCTAATTATAATAGAAAAACAGAGGAACATTATACTCCCGTTAAGGCCCAAGAAACTCAATGTTACAAATAACATATCTTAAGAAGTTTTTCACCATCTTAAAGAATTATACTAAATTCCATTGTTTATAGTCACCTAAGGCAGCTGTATAAATTATCAATCTGATGTTAAACATCAAAGGTTGTTTGACAAAGTTACTTTAACTATACATAGGTCAAAGTGTGCATGTTGCAACCTTTAACAGGGTTACATTCAAAATTGAATTAAACTACTTTATCATCATTATATATGAATAAACTTGGCCTCAAACATAGTTAATAAATCAAATTTTAATATTATACAACTTTTAAGTTCTTAATTTTATAAATAAAATCCTTAAAGTATGAGAATTGTGACATTTGTTCTCCAGGTCTTCTCTCTTCTCCAATATATTTACCAAACCTCTGAGAAGTTTTGAACTGCACAAAAATTACTCATTACAATACAGATATTACTAAGACAATGCATTATTTTTACAGCCTTTAATCTTATTTGTTTACAAAGCCATAAACAAGAAAGTCAGACCCAGTTGCCACACCCACCTGTGACATCCTCTCTTTCACAAATTGTCAATAGTTCTCTCTGGTGTTTTATACTATATTATTTATAACCAATAGCAAGCCAAAGTTTTATAGACTATCAAATGATGCATTATATTACATTGTTTTCTGTACAGAGTATTCACATTGACAAGCTTAGCTAAATTTTTAAAGACTTTTATCACATAGTTATAAAAACAGGTAAGTTATGATAATTATAGGACATTGTTTGTTTGTGCATATTATTATTCTGTGATCTTACATGTATTATTTTACTGAATAAAAATTATTTAGTGTACTAGCACCATTATTATAGAAACAGCAAGCTTAACTTTCACAGACAGTCAACAGCAAAAAAACAAGAGGACACAGGTAAGTACCATATTTCTTGGTTTTTTTGTATATTCTTTATTTATTATTATAAAAGTAACTAAAGTGTAAAAATTAGAATCGTATTAGGTTAGGCTAGGTAAGATAATGAAAAATAATAATGATTATTCACAAGGTACGACTGCAAGCAGCTCATGTTACAACATTCAATACTGTAACGTGAACTATGCATTCACCAAGTGATTTACAGCTTGCATGTCAGGATTATTAGATAAATTTCAATATAAATATGTAAACCTGTTACTAGCATTAAGCTGTTAGGGATAAACAATTTTAGTTTCCTGTTACAATCTGCAGTCATTCTAGAACATTTTAACACTTAATCAACAAATATAAATTTAATTCTATTTCAACTACTTTTTTAGTCAATCATTTTGCAGAATTGATATTTTAGCACTATACGATAATTTTCTAGTTTATTTCTAGAATAAAAAATACAAAAAATGATTAAACTTGTCTTTATGTTGAATCTCTAGAAGTCTGACTTGTAAACAACACACTTCTGAATTTTTTATGACATTTTTACAGACTCCAAAATTTAAGTTTTTCTCCCAATCACATTTCAGCATTTTTGGTTAAATGTACATTTATTCTATAGTTTTATGCTTTCTGTTTGTCCAACTTTGAATTTATTGGTTGAGCCCACAATTATTGCACAACACAGAGTAGCATTTAGCATTGAGGATTTCAAATGGATCAGAGCTTTGAAAAAAGTAATGGTCTACATTTGAAAAATGCATGAGTGGTTTAAACAGCCCCTGCCAAACAATCCATGGGGGCTGTTAGTGGGCTGATGTTGTATCTCATTTCTTTGTTTATAAAATTGAACAATTAAAGTTAATTTGTGTTGATTGATTGGACTGTTTTTCTATCAATAAAACAGAAGTTCGCTGCCTAAAGCTACTAAACTAAGATACATTAACAGTGTGTCACTGAACTATAAAGACTTCCAATCAACATGGCAGCCCTTGTGGCCTCACGTCATGCATAGAGTAGTTCATCAAAAGTAATTAAAGTCACAATCAAACTTGCTAAATCTCATCTTGTTAGTCTGAACTTGCTAATAATTGATATCCAATTTTGTAATTTAAACGTTAAAACATTGATTTAGTTTCTCAGTTACAAATATTTCATGTCTATATACACTATATACAACAGTACAGATCAAAATTTAACATTTAATAAATCGAAAATGTATTTCCAATAATACTCACCTTTCCCTCACACTACAGCTATTACCCAACCACCAGGGTTTCTTCCTTTGCCCATCTAAGTATTGGTCCGATTTTTTTTCTTGCTTGCTCCAGTCTTTTACACCTCACTTAATTTTCCTTGGCGATATTTGTCATGTGACACTCTCCACCTACTTCAATGCACCCTTTATCCTGATACAGTATTTAAGCACCTCATTCAGATAATGTTATCACTTTTTCGAGACTGACTCAATCCGTAGTCTCTAACACCAGTTCTTAGTGGGAATGTGACAGGAGGTGAGTATTATTGGAAATGCACTTTTGATTTTAAAAAATGTTAACTTCAAAAACATACCTCCCCTCACTCTCCAACTAGAATCCCACATTGAGAAGGTGGAGGGGGTGGGTGAGGGCATTATCCATACAGAAAGCATCTGCATAGATCATGGGTGTGTCAATAGAAGATTGGCACCCTAGTGGGAGAACTGCACTACATCCAGAACAGGTAAGCTCTTCACCCGGAACTTAATTCATGTACTGTGGGTGGAATTTTACCTAATTTACTACCACTATTAACCAGGCCCCAACCAGATAGCTGAGGTTCCACTGCTTGGAGTTGGAATTATATAGCCATGGTCCCTATATCTCACATTGGTGGCTAGTGCAATTGGACCACAATATATATATATATTCCAACCTGTAGCTACAAAGTGATGCATTCTAAGCCACCAGAATCACAACAAGAAGGTAAGCAACATTGAAGAAGACAAACCTTCTCCTCAGTCTGAAGAAGTCTAAAAGGCAACACCCCACACTCAGCATGACGGAATCTTGAATGCCTTACTCAAACTGAGGAAACGAAATTCATCCAGACTGGAATTATGAACACTCATCCTCACTCTCCAACTGTGTGGGCAAGGTACATTCCACTTGCCCACGGAATTATGGGAAGGATGTTGAACAAACTGTGCTCAACCAACGACTCAGGATGAGACCACTCTGTGTTTGGAATTACAAGGAGACAATGGATCCTCTTCCATGAACAATGTACTGAACCAAAATTGATCAAAAAGAAGGACCACTCTTAACCCAACCAGACAGCTGAGCATCAAATATGAACTGGTATTACATGTAGGCTCCCATGTAAGCTGGTGCCTCTCCTACCAACATATGGGAAAAAAACATACAGGGACCCCAACTTTGCCCTCTTCTCCAAGAGTGGATGAAAGTCACTCTAACACTCTGGAGGAAAAGCCTCTGTCCACCACTTCAGCGACTGGAAACCAAGTGTGGTAAGGACTCCATGTCACCAACAGATGTTGAGAAAGGGCATGTAATGTAACGTTAATATACCAGTTAAATAATTGGAATGGTTGTTTGGAATCCAGAGTACTGGGGACTCAAAAGAATATTTTGTCACGAGTATTGAATGGCAGTTGATGAGGCCGACTTGTACAAAGCCATTGTGGAAGATGTAAAAACTCTTGCCAAAGACCAGTTCAAAAAACAAGTTATGGTTGGCACTTCTCATCGAAATAGGTTCAACCATTGTCAATATGTGTGTCATTTCCATTGATAACTGTCCATCGCAGGACTAAACAAAGACTGAGACAAACACACTGCAACCTTAGAAAGTAAACCCTGAAGCCATGCAAAGGACTGCATAACCTCCATGCCTAAAGCTTGAGCTTCTGGATAGAGATGGCAAAAGAAGAAGTGGAAGAGATGGACACTTATGAAGATACAGCAGAAGCAGAAACCAAGGTGTAGCTGTCAATAGGACAATGGTTTGGAACAAATCATAGTTAGTAACCTGGGTAACATGTGAATTGGAGGGAAAGCCTAGAGTTGTAATCCCATCCCATCCTGATGGAATGCATCTATTGCCAAGGCCTGAAGGTGAAGTATTGAAGATCAAATTGCCAGTAGTTGGATGTTATAATGAGTGGTCAACCCACCAATCATCAGCATCACAAATTGAGAGCCAATCCAACAGAATCTTGCAATGCAGGATCTATTCTGTTGCGAGTATCTATTTGAGGTGAGACAATTGACATCCTACTGCATTCATCACTCGTGGAACATGGAAAGCTAGTAGGGTGATATGATAGGAGTGGTGCCAAGAAAGGAGGTCCAAGGATCAAAAACAAGGAGCCTTGAATCAAGTGCTTCCTCGACAGGAATTGTTGAAGTGAAGCCTCATGATTTTCCCCTTAATAAGCCCATGAGGCATTGCACTTTCAATTGCAAGAAGGACTAAAACATTGTGTATGAAAGCCTTGTGGTCCGTGCACAGACCCTGGAATTCCAAACTGTTGGCATATGCACCCCATCCCTGAAGCGAGACATTTATGAAGGGATGGAACTCTGGACAAGGTGGTAGCAGAGGAACCCATATCTTAGTAATGACCTGACTTAACAACCATTCGAGATCAAAGAATGATCCTGACTTAGGAAACTGGGGAATCTAGTGAATTGATGTTTATGATCCCTTGGTTGCATAAAGACCATTGAAAGGATCTGTTGTGCACTCATCCCAAAGGCATGAGGGATTCGAGTAATGGCCACATTCCCAAAAGAGAAAGTACCATTCATGCAGTGGGAGAAGGAGAGGTGAGTAAAAGTCAGGCTTCCTGTTCCATAACATGTAGCCAGATGGGAGTCAGCAGAGCCCGGCTGAGAGACATGATAAAAAGAACCTTGACTGATGACATATTGAATTAGAGCAAGAATAGATATCTCAGCTCAGAGAATGAAGCCTGCCTTGATTGTTTCTGAAAGTAAAATCTGGGTACAATGTTGTGACAATTGACAAGATGGTGCCAGCAGTAACCAGTCATCTATGGAATGGTGTGTGCAAAGTGCTAGAGAATAAAGGTGACAAGAAAAAGCTTGTACGATTCAGCAGAACCCATGTGATGTCAATGCTAGTTTGAAGGAAAAAAACCCTGAACTGCAGTACCCAACACTTGTGCACAAAAAAACGCCAACAGTGGTGAGATAACACCACTATGGCAATATGCAGATAGGAGCCGACTACAACAAACTTGGACATTCACAATCCCAGTAAAAAAATGCTAACTCAGATTGAGAAATGAATCATAGGTATTGATATCATCGAGAAAGAACAATGACTGGACACCAATCTCCTGTCTTTTTAGGCCCAACAATAATAAAATCCAGATAGAACTAGCACGACTCTCTCTCTCTCTACCCCAGACCAACCAACCCTGATAGCCATAAAACTAAGTTCCAAAATCCGAGGATCTGTGGGAGATGGAAACTCTACAGGTTGGGTGGATAATGGTTGTTAAAATGTGAAAAGAATGACTAATCCAGACTCAATGACCTGTAGTGCCCATGGATTCGTGGCTAAGGTTACCACATATCCAGAAGTCCCACTGCCCCAGAAGGCATACAATAATCACCAACACCACTGGTGGCATTCAGACTGGGCAGCAGAACCCTAGGATATATAAAGAATCTATTCTGGGTACTAATGTACTGAGGGGCTGATGTTAGGTGGGTCGGGATCCTCGAACAGGGGTGAAACTATGACCCCATAGGAGCCGATGAAAGTCAAGACGCCAACGACAACAGGGATGAATGTAGAAGCCAACATCCGTGCACGATGACAATGGTTTCAGCTCGTCATCAATGCAGTTGGTGATTTTGAGAGTCTTCCAACAAAGTGTAGTGTTAGGATGACAAAACGTTGAATGTTAGTCCATAGACTTACTGCTGATCCACCAGGGGACATTGATCTATTTAGGTTAACTACAAATTCCACCTTAAAACCCCTAATTTCGGGGAGCAGATGTAGTGGTAGTGGCAGGCTAAATCACATAGTTTTGACAACCGTGGCAGATAAAGTATAACTGCCACTTCACGTAACTGAGCAGTAAACCTCCCTGCATGAACCACAATGTCTGTGGATGGAGAGAAAACAAAATCTCTGCTCCCAGACCTGTCAGCTATCAGGTAAGGTGCAAGCAACTGGAGAAAGACCCAAAATACCATACTCTCAATGAACCAACTGAAGAAAATAAATCAGAGGCAGCATATCCCAAACTGATCTCTCTTTTTTTTATATTTTATTTCTCTTAAAGACTGTTCTTATTACTGTTGTTTGTAATAACATTTATTCAAGTAAGATTTTGTTAGAGCAAAGCAACATTAGGCTATCTGCTGTGTCCACTATAGGAAATCGAACCCCAGGTTCCAGCACTGTTAAGTCCATAAACTTACCACTGTCCCACAAGGTGACTGAGAAACCAACAGACTAAAATAAGATGCAGGAAAAAGTGAATCTAAATTATCTCCAGAATGTCAAGGATTTCCCTCAATTGCAGTCTCAGAGCCCCCTGGAGGAACACCACCAAATCGAATAAATGTCTCCATTTCACTACGAATAAGATCACTGACAGTCTCACCTAAAAGTAACTCCCTCCCCCCCAATTGTTGTGCAATGCTAGATATCAGAGATGGGATAGAAGAGACCTTCTTTGCCTCCATGCAGGAAATAATAATCCAGAAATTAATACCGCAAATTGGCTTGTCAATCAAAAAATAATAATAATAATATACTTTTTTATTTTTTTAATTACGAAAATCAGTTATGTAGCACGTAGAATGCTCAAAGTATCTCTGAATGACCATAGCACTAGGAAACCCGTTAGTGATGCTTTGTCGAGAAAAAGTGAAAATGTTAACTGAATGAGGTGCTTATATACAGTACCAGGATAGAGCGCGCATTAACATAGGTGGAGTGTGTTATGAGACAAATATCACCAGGGGGCAATTAAGTGGGGTATAAAAAACTGGAGCATGCAAGAAAAAAAAAAATCAGACTAATACTTATATGGGCAAAAGAAGAAACCCTGGCAGTTGAGTAATAGCTGTAGCGTGATATGAGGTAAATATGTTTTGGAAATCAATAACTTAATAAAAAAAATTGTAAAAAATTATTATTTGAAAAAAAGTTAACTCAAATACCATTGGCCAATATCACATTACCACACCTGATAATAGTAATGGTATCACAATATTTAATCAAATTCTATGAATTTTTTCATGCTGAAACTAGTAACTACTTAATAAGCTTGTACCAAGTTTTTGCAATTTGGTTTAGTATTTTCACTATAAAAATTAAATGTTCTCAAAATATTACATAGTGTTCTATGATCAGCAACAGGCCTGAGACATGGAGGACATGAAAAACTGATCCATAATGACTTACTGGGTGTGACAAAATTACCGAACAATTAAAATAGCCAAGGGCAAAAATTGCTAAATAAAGATTACAAAAAATAAAAAGGCTTACATTTTCTCATACTGAGGAAAACTCGATTTATTCTCTTGGTCCCCTTTTATATCCTGAAATAACAAACATCATGTAGCATTTTACACACACACACACACACATTTCTATGCTCAGGGGATTCTTTAAGAAATTATACATTTTATGTTCAAATAACAAGTTCATATTTAAAACTAGACTGATGTAAAAAATATTCTGTAATATTTTGACACAAATGAGAAATATACCTGTACAAGATCTGACACCTGTTTCATATTTTACAGCATATCAACCAACAGCATCAGTTACAATTTACAGTTATCCTCAATTAGTTTGTAGTTATGCGTAATACCTTAGCCATAATTATCACTGTCATTTGTTTTCAAACATATGTCATTGTAAATAAAGACAAACTGTTTTACAGATAATATTTTTAGTTAAGCGTGGGTAGCAAAATAACTCTGAACATTAAATTCACGGAAACAAGTGTGAACAGGAATGTTAGAAAATGGAAATAGGGGTCCAACAAATTGGTCACCTCATTAACTATGGCTATGGCTTGGTCAAACCTCAGATGCCATAACGTTTTACAAAGTTACTTTGAAATTTTAATCAAACAATTTCATTATCAATGTATGACAAACTTGATATGAAAACATAGTTTAAAGAGTTTTTTATATTATCTAGGTTTAATTTCTTAATTTCAAAACGAAATATTAAGAAAATTATCTTTTGTCACTTTTCTGTGTCTTGTTATACATCTGCACTCAATACTCCCCTTCAGGTTTTATATCTTGAATAATACAGCTTCTACAGTGTTCAACCAATAAGAAACACAAACTAAAAATAAAACTTTAACCTCCTTCCTTCTTGATTTGCTCAGATAATAATAAATTTGGCAAATTCAGAGAAACCCCTCCTATCTCTCACTGTCATTGAGGATAATTATATAATTACCAGTATATGGCTGATGGACATGTTTATAACCAATAGAAAGAGCAGATTCTCTTCTACATAATTCTTATGACTTATTCCAATTTCTCAGATTCTCAGTAAAAATAGTTTTTCTTTAAATCTGATTTTTTGTGTACAACAGACTTGTAATGTTTACTAAAACCTTGCCAAGCTCAGTGCAGATATAGATAGTACATTCAGATTAAATTGTCTTTAGTCTGAGCTGATCGTCTTCGTATAGAAAAAAAAAAAAAAAGAGTTAAAGTGCAAAACTTGTAAAAAAAAATAGCTAGTCTACAATCCCAACCAACAGTCATTTGTATTTTTGTACACTACTATTTTCACAGATCAAACTGATAAAGCAACCCTTAGTAAGCTATTAATTTAGGAAAATAGATGCAGAATAGAAAGAAAAAGACCCTATTTTCCTAAATTAATAGCTTACTAAGAGTTGCAGAATAGAAAGAAAAAGATTTTCCTAAATTAATAGTTTACTAAGGGTTAAGATCTTTTTCTTTCTATTCTGCAAACCTTAGTAAACTATTAATTTAGGAAAACAGATCTTTTTCTTTCTATTCTGCAACCCTTAGTAAACTATTAATTTAGGAAAATAGATCTTTTTCTTTCTATTCTGCAACTCTTAGTAAGCTATTAATTTAGGAAAATGGGTCTTTTTCTTTCTATTCTGCAACCCTTAGTAAACTATTAATTTAGGAAAATAGATCTTTTTCTTTCTATTCTGCAACTCTTAGTAAGCTATTAATTTAGGAAAATGGGTCTTTTTCTTTCTATTCTGCAACCCTTAGTAAGCTATTAATTTAGGAAAATGGGTCTTTTTCTTCCTATTCTGCAACCCTTAGTAAACCATTAATTTAGGAAAATAGATCTTTTTCTTTCTATTCTGCAACCCTTAGTAAACTATTAATTTATGAAAATGGGTCTTTTTCTTTGTATTCTGCAACCCTTAGTAAGCTATTAATTTAGGAAAATGGGTCTTTTTCTTTCTATTCTGCAACCCTGAGAGATGTTATTAGTCTTTGTTTCTCAAACTACAGCATCTACATAACAGTCTGTTATTATTCAATTAAAACCTACAATAAATAGATCTATAAAACAATCTTTTGTTAAGCCCCACACTAACTTGCCTGTTACTTATCCTACTTACTTCAAAAATGATATCCCCATTGTGCTTCTCTGCACCTTGGACTGGCTCATCCTCCATAGCAAGAGAAGCTTGTGATGAAAGTATTTCTTTTTCTTGTCTTAACTGATCCACTTCGTTCATTAGGTCGTTTTGCTTGTTCATTAGATCCGATATATCATTTCGAAGAGCTTCAAGTTCGTATTCAGCATTACACTTTACTTGTTCAGTCTCCTAGATGCATTAAATTTGTTTTTTAACATCCTATCGTATGAAAGATGTAATACGTAACCTATTACCAAATGCTTCAACACAAAAAAATGGCCTACTTTATATTTTATAGATTTGCTTATATTCTAAAAATTGTGTTCCAAGTTTAAGGTATACTAAACATGAGATACAATACATTCTTCAACAATTCCATAACTAGCAAGCAATTGATGCCATTACTAAACACAAAATGTATTCAAGTTATTTGTTCAACTTAAGTCCAAATGAAAAGCTGTAAATTATACAAGATATATGATCTAAACAGATTTGTAACACATTTTTTGTCTCAACAGTTTGAGAAAAAAAAAGCTACAGTGTGCTACACCATTTTTGGAGTGCTTCCAAGAAAATGTGGTCCAGAAAAAAATCTTTTCTTTCAACAAGAACGTCTGAGAGGAGTGAGGGTGGGGATAATAATACTTCTTCAGTTCTTGAAACAAAAAATAATGAAAAACCTAAGATGTCCTTAAAGCTGTAGATTTATAAAGTATGCACTGTGTAATATAAATCTAGCACTGGGTTTTGAAATAGATCAAGTTTATTATTTTTCAAACCTGTAGATGCTGTTGAAGGTGTTCCAACTCTTGCTCTCTATCTTTCAACAGCTGTGATGATTCTTCAAGTCGCTGTGTAAGAGAGCAGCAATCATTGTCACGATTACACAGGGCAGTTTTTGATCGTTCGAGTTCCTGATTCAGTTCTAGCCGTGCTTTAACAGCTTCATCCACCTGATTGGTCAAGTCTGCAACCTGCTGCTGAGACTGAGTGTATTTATTCTCCAATTCCCTGTGAGACAGAACCAGCTGGCCATTATGTTCCTCTA